AGCACACTCTTATAGTGGCAAGAATTAGGTATTCTTACACTAAGGATTTGGAATTATGAAATAAGAATCATTGAAATGTTTTCAATTGATCATTTTCACAAAGTAAGGACCACATATAAACATAGTGTGCATGCTTGGAGCATGGGATAACTATTGTTTTAATTCAAGTATAAAGTTGATTAGTCGAAACATTATACAATGAATAATGTGTAATCAATATGGTGATTAAATAGTAAATGTTTTATTTATATTATGAATTTTTGAGACCGTATTTGATTGTTTTATTCTTATGTTTCACTTCGCATGTTTTACCTCCCGAATAACTAGGTTATTCAAACATCCACAGTCGATCATACTTTGGAAGTAAGTAATGAGGTAAGATTGTCATGAATCCAACTGTAGATTGTCTAAATGATTAGATATAACACAAGTTTGTTGTAGTGTTCATGAGTACTCCTGTAATAAGATTTGAGTATTAGATTAAACCCACGCTCATCTGAATCACTTCATGGATTTCATCACGAGTGATTGTGAGACGATAATATCATATATTCTTGAAACGGAGAGATATGAGTTGTTGTTTACAAGTCGGCTGCACATTGATAATACATAAATGCATCAGTAACTAGATGTTATAAAACATATTGTTGTGTGTCATTTGATGAGTAAATAGAGCAATCATATGAGTTAAAGTTTCTCCGTTCCTTTTTCTATTAATCATCATATAATTCATAGAATCCAATCCTATTTCATCATCAATTATAATATCCATAACTTGGGTTTTCTAGGGTTCATGTGGGTTTTCACCAAAATCATCAAATCCATTAATATAGTGACTGGATTGAGATTGGAATCATCAAAAATAATCAAGGGAGGTTAGAAACCCAAACCATAACCAGTATAAGAAACTGAATTTAACATTAAGGTTTTCCCAAACCTTGAATTCAAAATTTAGAGGTAGGAGAGAAGTGATTATACCTAACAAGCTTTTGATTCCTCTTTTCGTTGTTTAGTTGCTCAAATATTGTCTTGGATCAAGCCTTTGGTGCAAAAATGGAAGAAAATCACCATGAGAGAGCTCATTTCTTCCCTTATATGTTTTGATGAATGAGAGGAAATGATTGCATCTTTTTTCCCTAATGTCTTTACATTTGGTCCCCCTAGTTTACATTTACCATTTCATTTATTTTTAAATTTTACTAAAAGGTTGTCATAACAAATCCTCCATCCATTACATAACTTTGGTAGTCATTTCCATTAATTGATTCAAGCCTTTGGTCAACGCACTTTGCCAACTTGACACTTTTGTCCCTTTAACTTTTAAAAAGTTATTGTTTTTACTTCTAACTTTCTAAACTTCATATCAACTAATGATATGATTAATCCTTGATGATTTAACTATATAAATAATCTTTCATTTATTTCCTTTATAAATTTAAGCACCTAATCTTAAATTTTAGGATATTACATTTTTGTTGGCTTAGTGTTGATTGGGTGTAATTATGTTTGTGAACACGGATGTCTGTTAACAACTTTCTACTTTTGGAAAAGACCATACATGGAACTAAGGTACCCCCAATGCACCATAATATCTTTTAATAATATATATCGTCTAAAAGTTGTCTTTTATAGATCTTTTCATTTTCATCTTAAAACCCTCTTCATAACTCTACAATGTTTGAGATAGTTTAAGAACTTTTTCGGTTACAACATTTGTAATTTTTTTTATATAATGTTTGTTTGAGAAAAAAATGATTTATTACATGTAAAAGAGAGGTTTGGAGATAAATGAGGATGCTATATATACACAAAGTCGTACTATTATGGAAAATGATTGATCACAAGCCCATCCATAATCCTAATCAATCCCAAATCAGGTGGTGTAAGCTTATTCCAATTAAAGTGTCGAGCTTAATATGACAGGCTGACCTTGGAAGGTTACCTTTGTTATTGCACTTGGGCATAAAGATATGAATTTATAAACTTAAAGATGCTGCAGATGTATTGATAAAGATGAATATGTAGACCATTTACTGATCAATTGCCCTGACAAGACCCTAGTTCAAGACTCGATACTCAACTGGTGTGGTATCAACAAATTAAAGATACAAAATGTTAGGAGAACTTATCCGCTTCGCAGATACACGAGGGAGTTGCATTAAGACAGAAACATATTTATTGTAATATGTTATGGGTTATTATGTTGTCTTTGGAAGGTGAGGAATGACTGACTTTTCAAGGCGAATTTCATTACCCCGACTAGAGTGGTGAAGAATGTTAAATAAATGGCATATTTATGGGTGAAATTTAGGGGTAAATGAGTAATTTATAATTGGGAAAAATTAGGTTTCTTCCCCCTTTCCTATTTAAAACTCTTTGTAACTTGTATTCATTGTTGCCTTGATTGTGCTCCACATACAACGTGTTGAGACACCTTAAGAGAATAAAATACCTACTTGATTTTTTTCTTATAATTTATGATACATTTCTACACCGAAAGATTCATTTCATGCAAGAAATCCATGTAGAGGGACATCATCTAGAAGATAAAGATGTACAACATTTGGACAAATAACATATACAATATCCATCTAGTATTTGACACGACTGTCGTCAATTATCTTTATAATGTATTTAAAGTGAGAATGTGACAAAATAAATAGATGTAGTTATCTTATAAACATAACTTTCTTGCAAACAAATCAAATAATCCAAGAAGGTTTTAATGACAAATCCAAACCATAATTTGTCGACATTTGATATGATGTTCGACTAAAGCCAAGAAAGGTTTTTATCCAATAAAAAAATCTAAACCATAGTTTATTGTATTTGATCTAATGTATTGATTAACTTCATGTTATCTTCGGTAGGCATGGAAATCGTGTCGTGTTCGGGTTGGCATGTCGCGAGTTAGCGGGTCAAAATATGCCAACCCAAACATGACCCATTTAATATACATGTCACGTGTTGGCGGATTTGAAACATAAACTCATATATGACCCGTCAACCTATTTATTTATACGTGTTCACAGGTTGACAGGTTCGTGGATCAGATTTAGGTTCGTGGGTTAGATTCCATAGATAAAATTCACAATTAAACATGAATAAATTCTTGATGGTTGCTGTAAACATATCCAAATTTTAGACACTTAAGTCTTAAACATCCAAATGAAAATTAAAAACATTCATAGAAACATGTTCAAACTAAACATTAATACAAATATAGATAATCCAAATGCTAAAGTAATAGCCACAATTCCCAATCTTTTCACCCAAAAAATAAAGTCAATTCTCCAACACCATTTTATTCTTTATGATCAACTTCAACCTTCAAGTAGAAACAATAGTTATGTGTTTGTGTTATCAGCCTATTAGATTATCGACAATCTCACTTCTCGCAATCCTATTATAACCACTCATACACACTTCACCTACTGATTAAAAACCAAATTTGTAAGGAACTAAGGAAGTGCATCTTGTAATCGGAAAACTGAGACAAAAGAACAACTTAAGAAACACACCAGAAGATTGTATTGGCGACTCATGTTCAGGGCTTCACCGCTTCAGCCTTCAAGCGTCAACGTCGTTTGTGATTTTGATACACGATTTGATTTTGATACCTAATTTCGATCATAGAGTAACAGAGGAGAGAGTGGGACTGTGGGAGACCGGGACACTGGAAGTCTTGAAGAGGGAGATATGCTCATACGCACGATTTGATTTTGAGATTATTATTTAGGGAAAATGGGCAAAATAGTTACAGACTTAACCTTACAGGTTATGATTTACGAGCTTAGGTCATCCACTACGATTCAAAATGTCAAAACAGTTAAATGGTCTATGAATCAATGGTATGTATTATATAATACTTATTAAATATTAATACTTGATACATAAATACATTTAAAAATAAAATATTTTTTTTTATTAAAAATATAAACGGGTTGACGGGTCAACCTGTTTACTTTTAAATAAACTCATATATGACCCGTTTAATAAACAGGTTGACAGGTTGAAAAACCTAACCAAAACTCATTTATTTCGTATCGTGTCACGGGTCGTGTCAAGAATTGTCAGCACTAATCTTCGTTAGCTCTCTAATACCATGAATTACTATGAATACATCAATGAATGAACTAATTTTGGATGAAGAAAATGTTTGTAGCATAGAAGATATTAAAGATTACTATCAAGATTACAATATAATATTTCTCATTTTTTATATATAACAAAAATCTAAGTTTCATGCCAATTAAAATAATTTTGTAGTTATATTATGAAACCTAATGAGAGAAGACAAAACACTTATCATCACAGGTTTCACTAAAATATCCGGTTATATTAAAAAAGAAAAACCCCAAATCATGGCATTTTTTGAAAATACATTTTCATATGCCTATTTTCATGATTGCATAGGGTTGGTCAAATAATTAGTTCACATTAGTTACAAGTAAAACTAACAATCCATCAGGATATAAAATTTTACCATATTAGTTTTGTTTTATGTAACAAAAGAACCATTTTAGCAACTTAGGTTTTAGAAAAACTTTTCGTTGGTACTCAACAAGTTACAAGTATTTAACACTTTTAAGTTTATTTGTATTTTGTTATACCTAAACTTTGGGATGAAAGTAACGAATACCTAAGGTATAAAACCACATCCTTTCAAAAACCAACATGTATTATTATTCTCTAATGAAGAGATGCTCTGTTTTCAATAGCCTGAATGGTGGCTGTGGCTGTGGCCTGTGTGCTATCATTAATCACAGCCCACAATTCTCTCTCTTTGTCCCTGTAAACCTCCATCGCAGCCGTCTGCAACGTGTCTCCCTGAACACACATTCTGATAAAGCCTGCTCTCTCTCCTTCCTTCCTCCTACATCGAATATAAACTTCAGATACCTCTCTCTCTCTCTCTCTCTCTCTCTAATTCTCTCTCTTCTTTCCTCCATAAAACCCCATTTCATCGTCCCAAAACCCCACTTCACAACCATATTAAAATGCCATCAGATTCCTCCGACCAACGCCGAACAACCACCGCGAAGAACCACCAGGTCGGGCTTGGTGCGCCGCCTTCGGAGCCTGAACACCTTCCTTGCCCACGATGTGATTCCACCAATACCAAGTTTTGTTACTACAACAACTATAACTTTTCTCAGCCGCGTCACTTCTGCAAGTCATGTCGCCGGTACTGGACCCACGGCGGCGCTCTCCGGGACATTCCTGTTGGTGGTGGTACTCGTAAGAATGCTAAACGTGCACGTATCTCCACCGCCGCTTCCCATGACAACTCCTCCGTTTCCTCTGGTATAGAATACCACCACATTTCTGCCACCTCCACCACCACCACCACAACCACATCCGTCGCCTCCGTCCCTATCTTGATGTCATTCGCCGGAGATCACGGTGGGTCCGGGCACTGTGGGAGCTTCACGTCGCTTTTGAGTAACACTCAAAGCCCGGGGCTTTATGGGCTTGATCAAGATTTGAGCTTTGGCCTTGGACGAACGATTTGGCCGTTTTCCAGTATTGGAGACGGCGTTGTTCCAGGTAACGCCGCCGCGGGCGGCGGTGGGAATACGTGGCAGATGGACAGTACAGACGGTGGTGGAGATTATTTGGTTTTCCCGGATCTTGCGATTTCCACACCAGGCAATGCCATGAAGTAGAATAGTAGATCAGTTTTAGTTATTAATAGGATATCTCTTATTTTCTGTTTCATATTTATATTAATCATTCGAGCAAATGTTCTTCGTATGCAAATGTTGTGAAATTTTATCTACGATTGCGCTTAAAATCAACTAGCAGCCATGTAATGATAATGGTATAAAAATATAACAATTAAAGACTATATGACATTAGACCAATAATGCCACAAAGGCAATAAGCCATAAGCTTTAATGCTAGTTTCTAAGTTTGTGTTGGAATTTGGATAGAGATGGATTATGCCATGTTTAAGTTTGCCCCTTTAAGACAGACAAACACGAAGAAATAAATGGTGTGAACTGTGACTTTTGAGTTTTGTGACTTGTCAATGTCTCAATGAGGTTGTAAGATGCTAGTTATTGAAATGTCTTTCGGACGTTGAATTTACGTTATTTTTTTTTTAATTGATGATATTACATTATTTTAAAATTCTGAATTAAAAATTACATAAATGAGAGATACAAATACTTTAAAGGATTATGTATAGGGGTGCAAACGAGCCGAGTCCGAGCCTGTCCAGGCTCGGCTCGGGCTCGTTTAAGTTATATGAGGCTCGAGCTCGGCTCGATTCGAGCTTTCTTGTACTAAGCTCGGTTCGAGCTCGTAAAGAATTATCCAAGCTCGGTTCAGGCTCGGGCTCGACTCGTTTTTTATCTGACGTGCCTAAATAAGCTTAAGCTCGGCTCGAGCTCGTTAAGAAGCTCGTTTACTAATACCCTAAATCTCTAAATCCTCTAATATATTTTTATTTTAATATATATAAATAATAATAAATTATATGTAAAGGCTCGTTTAGGCTCGCGAGCCTAATCAAGCTTAATGACATAGACTCAAGCTCGTTTAATAAACGAGCTTAATTTTAAGTTCGAGCTCGGTTCGGGCTCATTTAAAACCGATCTTGAGTCGAGATTTTAACGATCCGATCCCGAGTAGCTCGCGAGTAGCTTGGCTCGTTTGCACCCCTAATTATGTAAATTTAGATATAAAACCCTCTTTCCATATATAAACATGCATTGTGAGTCGGCCACTGTATCCGACTCACAATGCATGTTTATATATGGAAAGCTCCGCAAAATTAACTTAAGCTCCAATAAATCCATGTGACAAAAAAAAAAAAAACGGCGAACAGTTCCGTGGAGCTCGTAATGAACTGTATGCTTCGAGAAATCGATCTTTCAATTTTATGCATATTTCCTTCCTCAATTTACCATATTGTCATTTAACCAATAAAATACCTTAAAAACTATATATAATATCTAAATTATAAAATAAAATATCTTTTTAGCCAACCTTCTGCAGTACATACGGAGCAAAAGTTTCAAATGTGGAAAGTAATTTTTTTATGTTTAAATTTTAGAAAACACTCCTAAAATTTATCTATTATAGCCATAATCCCCAATTTTAAAATTATCATAAAAAAGACAAATCAAAGAAAAATCAAAGACTAACAAGAAAATCTAGCCAAAAATTAGTGTTAGACCAAAGTAGCCATGGCCCATGGCCATGATTTTCGTAGCATAGACTTGCAAAAATATCACTCTCATACTGGAAATCTTATTTATTTGAATGCTGTTGCTTTGCATATTTCCCATAATTTAAATACCTTTGATTTAATTTAAAAAAACTTATTTTGATTTGATTTTTGTATTTTTATATTTTTTTTTTATTTCGTTTTTTTTTATGTTGTCTTTTGTCTTATATTATTATTATTATTATTATTATTATTATTATGTAATTTTGTTTTTAATTATTTGCGTTTTAGAAAATATTTTTTACATGTAATCGTATCCTTAATTTTACAAACCATCGGTATCCTATCTATTTTTAAATAAAAAAGTTACAACTATCAATGTGTATGGTTCGGACTATAATTGTTTTATTTTTTTAATTCAAACTATCCATGTTTTTTATTTTTTCTTTCCAACAATTTTTAATTTTTTTTTCCTGACTATCCATTTGTTTTCATTTATACTATCATCAGAATATTGTTTTGATTCGAATTATCTTTATGTTATATTTTTCTGTCGGATTATTTCTATGTAGTTTTTTTTTCTCGAACTATCCTTGTATTATTTTTTCGATCAGACTATCTTTGTGTTGATTTCTCATTCCGTCTACCCATGTGCTATTTTTTTCATTGCGAATATCTTATATATTTTTTTCATCTGGACTATCATGTATTATTTTTTCGTACGGGATAGTCAAAAAGAAAAAGTAACACAAAGTAACAGTGATAGTCTTAATTAAAAAATAACATATGAATATGTATTTATTAAAAATATCTAAAATTATATATATATATATATATATATATATATATTATATATATATATATATATATATATATATATATATATATATATATATATAGAGAGAGAGAGAGAGAGAGAGAAAAAAAAAGAGTCATAGTTAGGTTCAAATGTTTCCAATAAATATTATATGCATTTTAAAGACCAATCAAAATTTAAGAATAATTTAATAGTTAATAAATAATAAAAGGGTATGATAGTAATCTAACACTATTTAATTATAATAGGCATTTTAAAACATTTAATATCTCCTAAAAATAGGTAAGTTAGTTTTAAAATCCTCTTACACGTCTTTTTCATCTCAATAACCCTAACCCCTCTTTTTTTTTTCTTTATTCGATCGGTAGACGACATTCCTCCTCTCTATCCCGATGCTAATTAGTTTGCCCAATACCGTCGCCCACCTCCAGTCCATCTCTCAACTATCACCGATGCCATCTTCCATCTTCATTCATGCCGTCTATTATCACGGAAGCTGACTCAGGTGACTTTCTCAATTATCTTTTGTTTTTAGTTTAGTATTTGAAGGTTATTGATTTGCGTATTTAAAGTTTGGATTATTATTTGATTACGTATGATGTATTTTTGCTCAATTTCTTATGCAAAATAACTTTAGCAATTCTTGTTTGATAAATCATTTTTTTTCTTCGATTGTGTAAACTTTGTAAATTGGATTCAATTGATAATTGTAAATTATTATATAGCCCCACTAATTTGGAATTGATGAATTCGATTTTTGTTTTGATAGTTTGTTTTTATGGGTGTAAGTTATCTGTGTTATATATATGTTTTCAATATGTGTTGCATACAACTCTTTTATCAATTTTAATTGTCGAACATTTGATTATATAAATTAAAATTGAAGTGGGTGAAATATAGCAAAACCTTCAGGGTTATACAATGCGATGACGAATGTTTGAGAGGTTAATTAGCAATGCTTATTACTATCATTCAAGTTATTTTTTTCTTTTATATGTTCTTTTTCTTATTGATGTAATTATAGTGTATTCCCTTTAAATAAGTTTGATTTAAAAGGTAAAAAAGTGAGTATTTCTTTTATTTTCTTCATTAAAGCTTTTGATATGTTTTTTTTTTGTGGATGTTAACTCTTTATTTGTTAATTACGTGAGTAGCATCAATCTTTGCTATTAGAATTTGTTTTTTAATCAATTTAGGATCATGAGTAGCATCAATCTTTGCTATTAGAATTTGTTTTTTAATCAATTTAGGATCATGAGTAGCATCAATCTTTGCTATTAGAATTTGTTTTTTAATCAATTTAGGATCATGATTTGATTCACAGTAAGAGATTTTCACAAATTTAAGACAGTTAAAAACATAAACATTGTATGAATGAGAAAACTATTCTCAAAATCATTTGTAATCGTCCGATTAAATAAGCAATATGTGGAAAAGTGTGCAAGAATACATACATTCTATATCATATACACATTCTGTTAGAATTTTACATTGTAATTATGCTTTTAGTTTAATTATTCTTTAGGAATATTTTATGTTGGATGGTTTTGGTTGTTATTTGTGAATTTTTTATTAAGGATTAAACTTCATGATATGACACATAATTGTTTTTTTTCGGTATCTTGATTACAGCTTAAATTATATTTGTTGACATATCATCAAACATTTATAATCTTTCCAATAGATGATTCATTCCTTAAAAATATTATGCAACAAATATATTATTATGTTAGAATATTCAACAAATAATGTTATATTCTAGTAGAATAATCTACAAAAGAATGCTAAGATTTTCGCCAGCGAGTTCAGGCAAATCTAGGGTTTCAAATTTCATTGTTCTCAGAACAAAGATCTGTTTACATCACTAATTCATATCATATTATGTATATATTGATGGGGTTTCAAAAGAATGCTACAAAATAATTATGTGTATTATGTCAGAATGTATTTTATGTATTCTCTCATATTCTATGTATTCTACCAGAATACATAAAGTGATAGCTAATTGCAATTAACATGTTTTTAACCATTATTAATTTTTATTGTATTTGTGATAAGAATAACTGAAATAATGCTTTGAAGACATAATAGGAATAACTTGAAGAATAAATAAAGTTTGATCATACTCACATTTTAATAATGTTGTTATTTTTTAAGAATTTTATTGATTTTTGTTGATAGTCTTTTAGAATATGTATAATTATATTAAAATGTATAAAATTTTTAGTCTGTAAGAATATGTATGAATTTGTATTTAAGTTCGGATGTATAAGAATATATTAGAATGTTGTTATTTTTCAACCTCGGATTCAAGATTTTTGTTATTCTTCAATAATATTCTAATTGAATAAAATTCTGAAAGAGTATTATTCTAACAAAAAAAAATATTCTGATAGAATAAAATCGGTTATGTTTATAAATTAATTTAGAATTAAAATTGAATTAATTAAAAAAATCAGATTTTTAAAATTAGGAGAATTAGTTATCCCTAAAAATCTGAAAATTTCCTTTTATAATTGTAGTTAATTGTCCAAAATACCATTTTGCTAAAATTTATGTGATTATATGGTACATGTTATCTCATTGTAGTTTCATACACTCTCAAATCATGTCCATTGATTAATTCTATCCGTTGGTCCAGATCTGTGCATTTTGACACATAATAGTTAGTAAAA